TAATGATAGTTAATGCATTAATATGACATTGTAATGTGTTACCAAATAGTGATGCATATTTTCTTTTCTAGCTATACATTGTTTCCCAGCCTTACTAGAGTGTGTAATTTTTAAATGCAGACACCAATGGCTCCAGTCTAATGTATTCTCACATTAACCGGAACCCTCCATGAGCGTGTTGTCATCAGAGATGTTACCAGTTTGTTTACGGTTGAATTTGACTCAACAAATCACAGCCAGCAACTCATTGCTTCCTACCTCTACACCTCTATCTTGTTTTCCTCTAGGGCTGCATTCACTGGCAGGTTGGTGAACGGTCACCCTTGAGACCTGCCCACTCTCATTCGCAGCACAGCATTTCTGCACATGACTGATTCTAAGCTCGCTCATTCTGGTCCTGATTCATCAGCATGTAGGAGGCTTCCCGAATCGCTTCCCACTCTTAAGTCGTGCTCCGGCATTGTCATGCAGAAATTAGCCTTCTATTTTTAGCCTGATATCTGCAGTGCTTGTGTTAGAGGATGCTGAATGCAGTTTGGAGGCACGGTGGGGCACGTTACACCGCTGGCTGCTGCCACTGCGGATTATTCACGCCACATTACCAAAGCCAGTAGCAGGCCTGCTTTCTAGATGACTAAATCTGTAGAAGCATTAAGGGTGCGAAAACAACCTTCCGACAGACTGAAAACACATTCAGATAAAGAGCACATAGTGTCTAGCTTCAAACAGTGACTTTTTTTTTTGACAGAACATACGTTTTGTACAGATTGACGATATATGTGTCTGTTGAAGCCACAAGAATTTAACTCATGTTTAATAGCTAAAGAACTACACTAACCATAATTCTATAGATCCACCAATCAGATTCTGTCAGGATTGCCATTGAAACAGTATACCCACTACCAAAAAGCTTTACAAATGACATATGTCTCACTACAGTCTCAAAGATATATATATATATATACAGTATATGTAAGGGATAATGTACATCCAGACGGTTGTTATGTCAGAATAAACCCAGACAGGGCGGAGGGGCCATGTATCAGTCTGAAGGGGTTTATTCTGAGATAACAACCGGCTGGATGTACATTATCCCGCTTGTTACACGGCTACTTGCCACATAAGTAAATAATTAGACATGAAATATTGATTTGAGTTGAAATATTTGAACGCAAAGCTTCCGTGAAGACAGCAGTTACGTGCAAGCGGCAAATTCAAACTAGACGGACATTTAAGGGAAACGGTGCAGTCAAACCACTTACAACACAACATTTCACCACAAAAATAATTAAGGCAATAAAAGAATTAAGACGAAAATGTTTTAAAACCTTACCAGTTTGTTAGTTCTCTTATAATCCATTATAGCGTACAAAACAGTTGTAGCAAAATGTCAGCAGCTGCGTTTGTATGAAACGAGAGCGAGTCTGCGATACCAAGATGACATAATTCAATAATTGTACACCATTTTGAATCGAGTTTTAATATTTTATTAGCTAAACAAACGCAATATATATGCAATACAATTTGCAACAAATATGCTTCCGTAAAATTTTTAAATGAAAAATTTTACAATTTTATAACTGTTTTAAATTTTAATATATAATAAAATGTAATTTAAAGGAACACTCTACTACGTTTGTATGAAACGAGAGCGAGTCTGCGATACCAAGATGACATAATTCAATAATTGTACACCATTTTGAATCGAGTTTTAATATTTTATTAGCTAAACAAACGCAAATCTTCCACCAAGAAAAAATAGTTCAAGCAAGGATGAAAAGTTGCGATGATATTACGCAGCGCCTGAAAATAGGCTAACTTCCGTCAACATAACCAACGTGACCACCTGCTTGCACAGGGAGCGTGCTGGGGACTATTTTCAGGTGCTGCGTAATATCACTGTGCCTGCTGCACCCATGGTACGGGAGCAAAGTTCCTGTTGGAAAGGGGAGTTGGAAAATGAGCCTATTTTCAAAAATAGTGGAGTGTTACTTTAATCTTGTCATGGCAAAGCTACATTTTCAGCTGCAAAATAATTACTGCTTAATATTTTTGTGAAATACCTCTGGAACCAAGGCTGTTAAAAGGGATCACTGTTGCACTTTATAAGGACACTTTAAGTGTCAGGATAATGGTGAGATCACCGCTAGAAGAAGGGAGTGTGGGATTGGGAAATGTTGCATGCCAGATTTAAACTTTCATTAGCCACTGGAGCACCACAGCTTAAAAAGCATGTGTGCTTTCCACTAGGCCGTGAATCAGAAACACAAGCAATTAATTTGAGGGTTTTACAGGCTGAAAGTGCTCTCCCTGGTGGCAGCAGGTTCATCCCTGTACAAGGAATGGCTTTACTGCTGCCAAGCCAAATGTCAGAGCTGACGTGGATCAGGGACATGTAAATTGGGTAGTTAATTGCCTCCACTGGATTTTGAAATCAAAGCTCAGTACACTGAGCTGCAAACGGAGCAGTGGAGAAAATTAAACTTCCCCAGCGAGTGACAATCAATGTAAAGTGAACAGAATGCATAGCAAGCACTGTTTCTTTCTCTTCCACTTTAGCAGATCATTATTCTATTTCAAATACTGCAGGAATTTGTTGTTTTGGCCTGTGAGGAAATTCATCATTGATTTACTGTATCAATAACCCAATTACATTCATTAATTTAATCAGGAAATAAAGGTAATATTTGCTTTGCCCCGTGTACTGTAAAATATTGCCATGATTTTAGAATATTTAACATAAACAAATTTTTTAAAATATTTTTTCCCAGTGTTACAGAATGCAATCTGTTATTTAAAACATTTTCGGTACCTACATTTGTTAAATTTTGTTCCTAAAAAATAACTGAATGCATTGCAGCTGAATGAATGAACACACAAAGGGGAAACTTTCTATTTACAAATTTCAGCCCCTTTCTACTTACAAATTTCCTGGAACAACATTCCTATCAACCAATCAGAGTTGAGGGATAACTTTTCAGGAAATATCTGTTTTAGGCTTACAATCAGGGTTAGGTGCTTCTACACCCTTGTTAATCAGCTATCATTTCACACTGTTTTTAGGAATAAATTATGGGTAGGTTTAGGTTTAGGTTTTGGGGTAGGGATTGGGTTAAGTCTATATTTTTGGACAGTTATGTTGATCCAGGATCAACAAAAGATGTTGATCCAGGAACATGTCTTACTTGGCAAAATCACGGCGATCAGGAAATGGCTTGTGAAATTGGTTTTATCTTTTCTCAGTATATTTGATATTTTATCAAATTAAATGGTTAAATACTTGTGAAGTAAGCTGTCTGAGAAGCTCAGAAGGTTATGTGGAGTGTCAAACTTGCTCCTGAAGGGCCAGCGTCCTGCAAATTTTAGCTCCAACTTGCCCCAACACACCTGTCTGAAAGTCTCTAGTAAACCTACAGACCTTGATTAGCTGATTCAGGTGTGTTTAATTGGGGTTAGTGCTAAACTGTGCAGGACAGTGGTCCTCCAGGAGCGGGACTACACTTAAAAATAAAAGTGATTCACGATGCCATAGAAGAACCTTTTTGTCTAAATGGTTCCATAAAGAACCTTTAACATCTGAAGAACCTTTCTGTTTCACAAATGGTTCTTTGTGGTGAAAGAAGGTTTTTCAGATTATAAAAAGGTAAGAAAGAGATGGTTCTTTAAAGAACCTTTGACTGAATGGTTCTTTGTGGAACCAAAAATGGTTCTTCTATGGCATCGCTTGAAGAACTTTTTGAAGCACCTTTATTTTTAAGAGTGTAGACTCGCCTATCATTTGGTGTGACAGCAGAAACTGAAAACACCACAAGCATCACGAAACTGCGCTGCTCATTCACTATGAGACACAAAACATGCAGACTTCATATTTATTTTTGTGGTAAATAATCACAGACACTAGTCCATATTGCAATTCGAATTTCATTAATTGTATAACCTTGTTTTTAAATCAAAACCATAAAATGGAATTTTAAATGTCATATCCCGGATTCTGTATTTTCAATTAATGATTGAATTCTCTCTGCGTTTTCCACATCATGGAAACCATAGAACCCTAGGTTGTGCAGTACAGTGATTTTACCACAGGTAAAAGAGTATTCTTAGGCACAACACAAAGCAAGAGTGAATTTGTGGCGACATCCATTCCAAATGTAACATTTTATAATTGCTCCTTGAGCTTGATTTGCTTACTCAGGCTTTCATTGTATCATTGCTTAAAACACATCCTTTACAACAAGCTACTCTTGCCCTCTCCTCTTCATCTGTTTTTTATCTTAAGCTTTCCATTACTTTTTTTCCCCCTTTCTCTCTGTCTCTGTCACTCCCACAACCCCATCTTACTTCTCTGCTTTCTTCCCATCCTGTTTTCACTTGTTCTCTCTCCTCTCTTTCCTTTCTGTCCCTGTAATTTTCTCAGAGGGGAGCTGAAAGTGAGTTCTGATACATCCTCTGGCAAGCCAAAATTCTAGGGGAAGAGAACAGTTAGCATGAAAGAAACAAGCTCTCGCAGATTAATGAAGACATTCGCCATTGTTCTTCCTTTACTGCAGGGTAATTTACAAAAATTAATGTCACACTTCAAATGTTGGATACGGAAATAATCTTTCTCTACCAAGAGGCACTGGGACTCAACTTCCAGAAAGGTTGTTTCTTAAGGGGTTGCATCATACACATCAATGCAGCATTCTCTGATTCCATTTTCAGACAGTGAAAGTGAAGGGTCTTTGCAAGGGAGCACCAATGTGAATTTATGGTCTGCTGCTTCACCTCAGTGCTCTGACAAAGCTCCCACAATCCCACTTGGTCTGCATCTACCTCAGAAAGTCACTTCAGGGAAATCTTGGTTTTAATACTGACAGAACTTTTGGTGTCTGTCGCCTGCGAATGATGATTTTTAATGTCTCCTGAAAAGACCAAGATGAACGTTAATTTCACAGATGTGTCCAAGCTCAATTATTGGAACCAATTAACATTGTACATTTTTTCTTGATTGTTTTCAGCACGCGAGGACAATGTGGCAACATTCCGGGGTTCAGAATACTTCTGCTATGACTTGTCTCAGAATCCTATCCAGAGTAGCAGTGATGAGATCACTCTGTCCTTCAAAACTTGGCAACGCAACGGTCTCATCCTCCACACGGGCAAGTCGGCTGACTATGTTAACCTAGCGCTGAAAGACGGTGCCGTTTCATTGGTCATCAACCTGGGCTCAGGAGCCTTCGAGGCTATCGTTGAGCCTGTCAATGGAAAGTTCAATGATAACGCCTGGCATGACATCAAAGTGACACGCAACCTGAGACAGGTAATCACTAGACGATGGCTGCTCTTAAGACTACTCACAGCTAGCTGGAGAACTAGTTTATGTTCTACTTCAAATATATTTATGTTGCATCTGGTTTATAATCAGATAATTATTTTTGGAACTGTCATTATTTAATTAAGACTGAATTTAGTTGCACTGTGATTTGTTACCTAGTTTCAGAATAATGAAAGAGTATGTTCTCATTTCCTCCTGTGTTTTCAAACCTTGAAATCTTTTATCTTTGTTACTTGACATGATTTAACACTCAAGGGCTTTCAGAAAACTTAAAGCTTGACCTCAAATCCTTTCAGTCTATGCTCCAAAGCTCTACAAGTGTCAGCGAACTTTCAAAGTTTTAGCAAATCACCTTGCTACTTTTTAGACAGTGGTTGACATTCGGTTGCCATTTTCCCTCAGCTTATGCATTTAAGCAAGGCACATGGAAGTCTGACTAAACCAGCAGTTTGTTTAGGATCAAATAGCTTTGCAATGATTCCTAAATAGAGTTCTTTACTGAAGAGACTAGGAGCCTCATTTATAAAGATGCACCTAATCATTTTAAATTAACATACAATAATTTCCTAAATGTTCCTATAAACTCTTTACTGAATGTGTGAATAATTGTTCTTAAATAAATTCTGCTTTATTATTGCAAATAAATAAATAAAATGTGCAGAGGAACAGTAATTCATCTATATAATACCCTCAGATGTCTTTGTATGATGAGATGTAAGACAATAAAAAGCACAAGAGTCTAATAAACAACAGTTGCAGCCTAATTTTGTCAACTTAACCTAATCAGTGATTCAATTTGAAATCACATTTTCATCAAACTTTCAAGTAAGAGCTTTTAGTGCTACTTGGTTTAGCCTGCCAGTTAAGACACAATGCAGTACGTGCAATTTTTTTTTACCATTATTTATCTTAATATTACTTAAAAATCATTATTTTCCTTGCTCTTAAAATGTTTGAGCATAGTCATAGCAGTGCACGTGTGGCCTCCTCATTCCAAACGCCCAGTATGCATATAGTAATACTAGAATTATTAACACTTAACATTTTTTTATAACTAAACATTGTTAGGTAAGTTTTCCCTTTTTGAACTTGAAGAGCCTTTCTAAATCCCAATTTGTTTCGCACTTTTAAAGTGGTATGAAATCCATAGAATTTAGGATGATATTGGATAGTATGTAAGTTTTCTAAATGAGGCCCCAAGTGTTCTCTTGTTCATGAAGCCTTTGATAAATTACCGTCAGTAAGAGTGTTTGTATCTGCTGGCCAGCTGTATGTCCATGGATTGGATTTGAGTCTTCAGTGAGATCATGCTTGACTTGTTTGGCTGACCTTAAACTTCACTGGCAGGTGAGGGAGGTTTATATGGAATGAAAATATGATGAGGGCTTGACAAGTAAGTGCTTTTTTCATGTCACTAATTTGTTCAGACTGGTAAAAGATATAGCACAATCCTCATGGGATGTTTTTTAGACTAGTGTATGAGCTGACAGACTGAAAGAGCTCTCTCTCTCTCTCTCACTCTCCCACTATCTTTCTCTAATTCATGGGCATTGCTGTTTTAAAAAAAATGTTGTGGATAGTTAAGCCAGGGGAGCACAGACAATCTGGTTGTGACGTCACAAAATAGTGGAGCCTAGGCTAATGAATATCATTTAGATTAAACAGTAAGTGTTTAAAATGGCCTGTTGCTGTTTTCATAAGAAAATACTTTTAGAAAATACACCTCGCCGATGCCAACAAAAAAAAGTACTTGATAATAGAAATTACAGGTTTTTTTATTGGTATTATTACCTAATTCAAAAATAAGTGTTGGTCAGTTTAAAAAAAATAAAAAAATAAGATTTTTAAATAAGATTCCAAGTGCTCTATCATACTGCCAGTAATTAAATAGGGCAGTTTATGAATCAGTCCATGTTGAAATAAATTAGCTGTTTTTATTGTAAAGAAAATCTGTTACACTGTTTGAATATGCTGCAAATGCTATGTCACTCTGCAGTTGACAACATTTGCATATTCTTTCCTTCATGACTATAAAAATGAATTAAATGAATTCAAATTTACTAAATTAATGTATCTACCTATTTCACAAAAGTATAAACTGTACACAAATATTAACAACAACATTATGATTAGAAGTGTCTTTTAAACAATTTCAAAAGCACACAGAGTTGCTGTTTATGTTACAACTTCATTAGAATGTATAGCAAGCAGCAATAAAATTATATATTTGACCCTGGACAACAAAACCAGTCATAAGTCGAAATTGAGATTTATACATCATCTTATACATCAATAAGCTTTCCATTGATGTATGGTTTGTTAGGATAGGACAATATTTGACCGAGATACAACTATTTGAAAATCTGGATTCTGAGGGTGCAAAAAAATTAAAATACTGAGAAAATCGCCTTTAAAGTTGTCCAAATGAAGTTCTTAGCAATGCATATTACTAATCAAAAATTAAGTTTTAATATATTTACAGTAGGAAATTTACAAAAATATCTTCATGGAACATGATCTTTACTTAATACCCTAATGATTTTTGGCATAAAATAAAAATCATTAATTTTGACCCATACAATATATTTTTGGCTATTGCTAACAAATATACCCCAGCGACTTAAGAGTGCTTTTGTGGTCCAGGGTCACATATTTTCAAAATTGACTAGCTAGTTTGGAGATGCATTTGTAACTTGACATACCATCGTAAAAAGGTAACGATTATGGTATATTGGCCACAAACTACATGATGCAATTGAATGCAAGTCTAAAGGTGTAGAGTGGTGTTTTTAAGATGGTGAATTTAATGACACAACTTGAGGCTTTTATCATGTTAAACGTATAGCAAGTTAAGGACGGCACACCATCAGCATGCTAATTAAAACACTACCGCTAAAATCTAAAACTAGTCAACAATCTTTCTCACTAATTGTCTAGTCTATTGTTGGATGACTAGTCAAATAGTCAACCGTTGTGAGCCATCTCTATTAGCCATATGTCTCCACTCTAAATAATACCTATGCTCTCATTATACTGTACTTTTCCTCTTTAATCTCTCTTTCCCTTCCTGTTTCTCACATCTTGGGAAGAAACAGTTCTTGGGACTAACACTATTCATTCATGGGATCATTTTTATTACTAATCTGTTTCTAACCAAACTAATGTACTAACACCCTGAAGCTTCATCATTAATTTCTTTCTCTTTTAATTTCGTCCATTTATTAACAACCGTTCTGTTCACTATTGTTTTGATTTCCTTTCTTCCCCCCTTCTTCCTGAAAGCACTCAGGCATTGGACACGCTATGGTAAACAAACTACATTGTCTGGTAGATATCATTCTTATTGTCCTTTTTTGGTTTGCCGTGTGTCCCTCTCCCTTTCTTTCTTTTTTCTTTGAGTTTCATTCTAGACACTCTTTTCAAAAAATGAGGAAATGGGTTTGTATTACCAGGAATTTTCACATTTCCCCCCTTTACCCTCCTCTCAAACTTCCCTCCCTTCTTTTACAGTTTTGTTTCTTATTGTTTTTTTGTTGTTTATCAGGCTGGCTTTTACGTCCTCACATTAATGTTACATAGAGATTCACATCCTCACTTGGACTCTCACAGGAGCTAGTAAAATGTTTTTTCTCCCCACACCAAGCCTCCACATTTTTTGCGAGGACTGTCAACAATAACTGACAGAGGATTTCCAAGAATGTCCACAAGGGAACTTTCCACCTTGCAGAGCCTCCCGAAAATAAACAAACACACAAGAGAAATTTAAGAACTCTGGGAACTCTGGCAGTCGATACCTCCACACCACTCATAGCATGTCCACATCTCCACCATCTCATTCAGCCTCATAAATCACTGCGACTAACACAACATTCGATTTATCACTCCCCTTCCACCTAAATCCCTTGTGTGTGTCTACCGCATGTTGTTTTGTGTGCCGTGTATCTTGTTGCATGGCCTTCCTGCTTCTTTATCTAGTTCTGCATGGGTACTTGATGATCGGCTGTTGTGGCTTTGCTCCTCCCCCTTTTCATTGAACCAATGAATCATCGATCCTTCTCATGTTTATTTAGTATGACCTTTTGAAAAAGGATAAAACATTTGATTTTCCCAGTGGTTAATGCCTTCCTTTAATGCATGCATGTTCAAGTCTTGGTATGTGTCTGAACGTCTGTTTATGTGTGAGTGAGCGTGTGACAAAGTAGCGTACCCCCCCCAAAACTAAAACAAGTACAAATAATTTGTCCTTGGTTTTAACATTTACTAACCCTAATTAGCAATATTCCAAACCAGATAAAAATTCATTTTCTTAACCCATCAAAGATGAAGAAAATATTCATCAGCAATATTTTCTTTACCTGTCCCGTGAACCTATACTAAACTATCACCAATAAATCTTATCCAGACCAATGGTCCAGAGTGTTAGCAGTAAGTGAACCGAAATAAGGACAAATCTGAACAAGATAGACCATAACAAACAATAAGGTTATCGCTCAGGTCAAAAGCACATCTTGAAATGAGTTACTAATTTGTTGTCTTTTTATATTGTCATCATTTAACAGGTGACTATATTGGTGGATGGTATATTGACCACCACAGGATACACGCAGGAGGATTACACAATGCTGGGCTCAGATGATTTCTTCTATGTGGGGGGAAGCCCAAGCACTGCCGACCTGCCTGGATCTCCCGTCAGCAATAATTTCATGGGCTGCCTGAAAGAGGTGGGTCCTATAAGATTTGCATAGTTGTGCGTGCATGCACGAACGCACACTGTGAAAATGACATCATAAAAAGCCTGTCAGGATGTTAATGCCATTATAAGATGCAGAGGTCTTCACAAAGTATTTGTTCACTTAAGTCATGTTTAAAAATGTATGAGTTTCATTACATTAGATGAGAAAATATCAAACATGGCATCTGCATGCAAATTACGCTTTACCAGAGCTAACTTCACTTTTCTACTCAATTATGTGTTTGCTTTTAGGCAACTGGTCTCATTGTGTTTTTTAATAGATGTCAGCTTCTCAAGTTGTCCAAATACTTCATTTTGAACAGTATCTATTACTTTATAATATTGTTTTAAAACCTAACAAGTGTGTTGTTGTGAGATGATTAGCTTGAGAAGTGTGCTTGTGCTTTCTTAAATATATATATATATACAGTATCGTTGCAAAGCAGCTTTACAGAAAATGTAAGTTTCTACATTATATTTAGTAATGCTAGTAATATCATTATATTACTTATCAGTGGTGACTATCTCAAGTTGATGTCCATATGGCAGAAATGTACGGTAAAAATCAAGCAGTTAGTTAATGACATGTAATCAAACAGACAGTGAACACTATTAACAGCAATGATTATATGTTGTGATCAAACTTATAGCAACATTTTGTAGTTTTCTATGTTGTCTGAGGGTTGGCATCATCTGAGGTCTTCTGAGGGGTTGGCATAATCTCTTCTCAGGTGTTCGGTCATCTCAGATCTTTGTAAGGGCTGGATCCAGACTGAAGCTTGTGCAATTCCTAGTTACCACGGGATGCCAGAGAAGGGAATAGAGAAACATTAGCGTAGCTGCTGTTCAAACCAAGCAAAAAATGGTAATGTGCATTTGATCAGATGTAACTGAAGTACAGTGTTATGAGATACATTATGTGAATGCTTGGCTAAAGAGATGTGTCTTTAATCTAGATTTAAACAGAGAGAGTGTCTTTGAACCCCAAACATGATTAGGAATGCTATTCCAGAGTTTGGGAGCCAAATGTGAAAAAGCTCTACCTTCTTTAGTGGACTTTGCTATCCTTGGAACTACCAAGAGTCCAGAGTTTAGGTAGTGTGATGGATTGTAGAGTGATAGAAGACTAGTTAGGTACGCAGGAGCTAAACCATTTAGGGCCTTAAAAGTTAGTAGTAATATTTTGTAACTGATATGGAACTTAATGGGTAGCCAGTGCAGAGAATGTAAAATTGGGGTAATATGATCATATTTTCTTGACCTGGTAAGGACTACCTGTAGCTTGTTTATTGAAGATGCAGGACAACCACCTAGCAGTGCATTACAATAGTCCAGTCTAGAGGTCATGAATGCATGAACTAGCTTTTCTGCATCAGAAACAGGTAGCATGTTCCGTAACTTGGCAATGTTTCTAAGATGGAAGAATTAGGTTTTTGTAACATGGGAAAAATGATTTTCAAAAGACAATTTGCTGTCTAATATAACACCCACATTTTTGACTGTAGAGGAAGTAACAGTGCATCCGTCTAGATGCAAATTGTAAACAACGAGATTCTGGGTACTCTGTTTTTGGTCCAATAAGCAATATCTCCGTCTTATCCGAATTTAATAGGAGAAAATTATTGGTCATCCAGTCTCTTACATTTTTAAACACTCTGTTAGCTTAGATAATTTAGAAGTTTCATCTGGTCTTGTTGAAATATATATTTGAGTATCATCAGCATAACAATGGAAACTAATGCTGTATTTTCTAATAATATTACCAAGGGGCAACATGTATATTGAAAATAGCAGAGGGCCTAGGACAGATCCTTGTGGCAATCCATACTTTACTGGATTTAATTGAGATGATTCCCCATTTAAATAGACAAAGTTATATTGATCGGAAAGGTAGGATCTAAACCATCTTAAAGCCTGCCCTTGAATACCTGTATAGTTTTGTAATTGATCTAAGAGTATGACATGGTCTGTAGTGTCGAACGCAGCATTAAGATCAAGTAAAACTAGCAATGAGATGCAGCCTTGATCTGCAAGAAGCAAGTCATTTGTAATATTAACAAGTGCAGTTTGTGTACTATGATTGGGCCTGAAACCTGACTGAAATTCTTTATAGATATCATTTTATTTTGCAGGAAGTAGCACAATTGAGTAGACACAACTTTTTCTAAAATTTAGACATAAATGGAAGATTTGAAATGGGTCTGTAATTTGCCAGTTCACTAGGATCTAGCTGTGGTTTCTTGATAAGAGGCTTAATAACCGCCAGCTTAAATGGTTTTGGGAGGTGACCTAGAGATAACGACAAGTTAATAATATTGAGAAGCGGTTCTTCTGCTACAGGTAACAACTCTTTCAGTAATTTAGTGGGTACAGGATCTAATAAACATGTTGTTGGTTTAGATGCAGTGATTAGTTTATTTAGCTCTTCCTGTTCTATGGTAGTAAAGCACTGCAGTTTTTCTTTGGGTGCTATGAATAAAGCTGAATTACAAGATGCTGTTGATTCTACATTTGTTATTGTATTTCTGATGCTATCTATTTTATCAGTGAATAAATTCATAAAGTAATTACTACTAAACTGTAGTTCGGGTGATGTCTGATTATATATATATATATATATATATATATATATATATATATATAAGGGATGCACCGATACCACTTTTTCCAGTACTCACCCGATTTATATTCCAAAGCCACTCATATAATGCAGAAACACACAAGCAAGCAAAACACGCGCAACGCATGCATGTACTTGTACTGGTGCAGAACAGTACAGCCTAGCGCATTTCACACAGTGCTGTAATAATGCAGGGAACCACTCGTTATAAATCTCCTAACTGTGATATTTTCAGAAATAGAAGTCAACTTTTTTCATCTGAAACATGCTGCGATTTATATTCCAAAGCCACTCATATAATGCAGAAACACACAAGCAAGCAAAACACGCGCAACGCATGCATGTACTACGAGTACAGGAGCTCAGTATCGGGCCCGATACCAGTATCGGTATTGGTGCATATATATATATATATACAGTATGAACAGTGATATACATACATACATACATATATACATACACACACATATATATATATATATATATATATATATATACATACACACACACTCATGGTAAAATTGGTTTGTTTCAGACAATAAACAGTAAAGAGCTGCATTACATAAATATGTATGTGACATGTACTGTATATCAGTGGTCACATACACATTTATTCACACAAATCATGATGAAATGATTATGAATTAAAATAAGCCTGTTTTGCCCAGTGATTTTTTTATATACATGTGGAGTGAGTGAAGATAGTGGATGTGGAGTCAAGTGTTCTGTTTTAAATAAAAATTGAGCATGAATTTGATACAGGACGAGTGGTTCAGGTATGCACATGATCCCGGCTGTTGTCGCTTACTCCCCAAGGTTCATGCACACAGAGTGCAGGAGTCTAGAGACAGGGTTTTAAACATTTATTTTATTTTATTTTAACCATTTCAAACTGTTAAATTGGCAGACAAGTGTAAAAATGGTGCTCAAACTGTGAGATACAATGGCCTAGTTTTGTTTTAAATGACATCACACCATCTTGAGGTATATCAGGGCCTTCAGTCAGCTAACTAAAGCGTGTCTTACACCACTGCATGTGTCCTAAAATCAGCTGAAAATATATGAATGGCATCATAGTCTGAAGCAAAAAATTCAGAATCTGTGCCCATCATAAACTACTTGATTTTCTGTGAAACCTGTCAACTCCCACTTCTCAAAAATATGCAGGCTTGCTCTGACTTTCAGCAACAAGAGCCCATTTTTCCAAGACCAGTGTTGGGGAAAGTTACATTTAAAAGTAATGGATTACAATATTGTGTTACTCCCTAAAAAGTAACTAATTGCATGACTTAGTTACTTTTTATAGAAAGTAATGTGTTACGTTACTTTTGCGTTACTTTTTCTCATTTGGGCTGGGCTTGCTAATTTGTTTTTAAAGGGGTCATTTGATGTTGCTAAAAAGAACATTATTTTGTGTATTTGGTGTAATGAAATGTGTTTATGTGGTTTAAGGTTAAAAAAACACATTATTTTCCACATACTTTACATTATTGTTTCTCCTCTATGCCCCGCCTTTCTGAAACGCATTGATTTTTACAAAGCTCATCGATCTGAAAAGTGAGGTGTGCTGTGATTGGCCAGCTATCCAGTGCATTATGATTGGCCGAATACCTCAACCCATTTTAAACAAGGCATTTGTTGCATCCAGTGGGGACATAATTATGGATTATAATGATTTATGCTATACTGCATCATGCCGCGTAAACATAAAACCATGTCTGCATTTGTGATCGGAGGAATGACAAACAACAAGCCCTACTCTACACTGCCCAAAACTCGCGTTTTAATCATCAGTGGCAAATTCATTGTTCAAATTCAAACAGTCCTCCATAAAATGTGCTGCACACATCTGAATATTTGGGTTGATACAACTTAACCACTGATTTCTAGTCATGTCCTCTTTTGGAAGGCCAAACAAAGTAGTTTCGCTTTAACAACGAAACACAGTGTCACACACGGCGGCCTAGAGTAAGCGGAGGCTTGAGAACGGCGCGGCCGGCGGATTCGACGAAGTAGCGAAGAGGGCTTGCGGCAACCACATGTGACGACCCCGGGATGGACTCCGCTTCGTCCACGGGGAAAGCTGATCCGGCGATCCACAGCGCAAAGTTGATGTATTTCCTCAGCGACCAGCACGAATCAGCTCCAGGCATGACGAAGCAGATATTGTCCTCTTTTGGAAGGCCAAACAAAGTAGTTTCACTTTCACAACGAATCACATAGTGCCTTCACGACATGGCGGCAGCAACAATACTACAGCGAGAATAAAAGTTACACCTTCTTTTTTTGCGTGAACATTTGGGCGGCGTTATGCAAATCTTCCAAAATCGTGACGTAGACATGTGGGGGCGTGTTAGAACGAGCCGTTT